CACCTCCCCAACAAGCCCCACTCCCCCTGGACCACCCTGACAAGCCACCTGCACCCAGATCCCAACCGAGTTCCAACCAGCTGCACCTGGATCCCCACCCCATTGAGTCCCCCACATCCACACCCCCTGTGCTGAGCCCTAACCACCTTCACCTGGACTCCCCTGCAGAGTCCTGTTACCGTTGCACCCAGAGGAGGAGCAGGGCTGGGCTGCCCTGTCTTCTCCTCTGCAGGTACAGAGGAAATATTGTAGAGGCAGAAACATAGACCAGCCCCCACACTATGTCTATAGTGGGAGCACTAACCCTTACTGTTGTCCCGTCACCCCTCCTCCCCACCCCAGTTCTGCTGCCCCTACTTCCACATATGTCTGAAATCTTCAGATATCTGGTACATGAGTGGATATTGCTGTCCTGACCAACTGATCTGTGTTAGGTTCTTATTGGAGCATATGGAGGGGGGAAAAAATCTTACAGTATCATAACTGTCCTTTGTTCCTATGTTAGACACATCAGATTTGTGTTCTTTGGTTTTAGAAGAGAAGAAGGCTATGCTGCAGGAGATTGCCAATCAGAAAGGAGTATCCTGCCGTGCGCAAGGTTGGAAAGTCCATCTCTGCGCAGCACAGTTACTGCAGTTGGTAAGTGAATGGGACTTACCAGTTGAGCTTCCTACAACATGGGGAAAGTAGGAGTACTCCTAGATGAGCATTAGCTGTTTTGTAAGCATCACGAATTAGAAAAACACATCAGACACTGGAGTATCTCAGACTGTTTGGTCTGTAGGGAGTTGGCCATATGCTCTCCAGTTGTCAGGAATGTGTTGCGTGTGGTTCAGAAACTTCAGAATGGTGGAGGTTTGGATCCAGACATAAAAGCTGATGCATTCTGTTCAGATGCTCAAAACTGGCAACTCCCTCCCTCTGATGCACAGGTCTGAGGATGTCTGTTTGGGATGGTGCTGCTGATAGGAGGAGGCAGCACTGCTCCACATTCTTGGATGTTTCTCTTTTGGGTTGGGGGTGAGGTAGGTGCTCTGCATTCTAGCATCAAATTCCCCCAAACCTCTGCATTCCCAGAATAGTATTGAGGAAAGAAGGGAAGCAGCTCCGCATTTCAGAAGGATCGGGGCTGCTCTGGATTCAGATGTGGGGATGCAATTTGTACTCCTCTGAATTCTTCAAAGCATCTGTTTCAGGGGCAAGAGTCAGAGCGCACTGGTGAGGATCCATGCTCGTTCAGAAGTGGAGCAATCCTTTTATAGGATGTTAGTATGAAGAATAACGCTACATCAAAGGCTCCATCATGAATAAGCAACATGAGTAGCTGAGGGAGTAGCAGAATAGTCTCACTTGCTTGTGTATAATTTTCTTAATATGGAGGAATGTTGTGCATTCCAGTGATGGGCATTCTCACTAAGGTCTCATGTCTTCTAGACTAACCTGGAGCATGACGTGTATGAGCGCCTCACCTCCCTGCAGGAAGGGATAATCCCCAAGAAAAAGGCAGCAACTGATGACGACTTACATCGAATAAATGAACTGATACAGGTAAAAGTTGATGGCTCAGTATATCTACTTTACCCTTAATTACAAACTCATTCTATTGCTGGCTATGGTGCAGTTAGTAAGAACTACCAAGGGGGGAAAATGTTAGTGTATTTCAAGAGTGATTATTCAAAGGTGACTTACAGACTTGGAAATGACAGAGAGAGAGAGTTCTGCTCTTAATGACAGTAGTGTGTGTATTTCAGGGGAATATGCAGAGGTGTAAACTTGTGATGGATCAGATCAGTGAGGCCCGAGACTCCATGCTGAAGGTCTTGGATCACAAGGAGCGTGTTCTGAAGCTCTTAAACAAGAATGGAACCGTCAAGAAAGTGTCCAAATTAAAGCGAAAGGAGAAGGTCTAGAGCCAGAAGAATAAGGACTCTGGAAATGGAGAACATGTACAGAATGGAGTTGTGCAGTCTTTTTTTTTTGCGGGGGGGGGGGGGTTATTTTGAAGTAGAGCATCTGACTAAAAAGGATGAGTTCTAGAGAACACAGATGGATGTGTGGAGCCCATTGACCTGGAGGGATTGGCCTGGATCTGTCATAATGAACAAAGATTTTTCTCTCAGGTTCATCCCTTTTAAACTCTTTGAAGTCACATTTGTTTAACCCTCCTGACGTGTCAGTGCCTACTAACTGGTACTCGTAATGCAGTGTGTGATGGACAGTCCCCTTTTCATTTTAGAATTTAGAGGTAACTTGCAGGTTTGTCCATGGATTCCTGCAGGAGACCTCAAGAATTTGATCTGAAAGTATTGGCTCAGACTGCCAGGAGCTTTTCAAACCATTGAAAATGACACCACTTCCAGTTACCGATTTTCTTTCCCTCCCCCCCTCCGTTTTTCTGACTTTCCAGAGTCTGAAGTAACCTTCTTAATCCAGTGCCATTGCACTAGATCTGCCACATTTAGAATCTCCTGGTTCTGAAGTCCTAGCTGTCATTTTTTTTTTTTTTTTTTTTTTTAAAGAACCATTTCAAAGTGATTTTGTAGTATCTGTTGTGTGTGTCCATGTTGGTGCTCTCGGATACTTGTTTTGAAGTACTTCTCTTCCAACACAGTACTTCTTGTAGCTGGTGTGATGCTGTTAATTGTATGTACCACATACATCCTGAAAACTTTAATAAAGGACTTGGAGACTTTTGTAACTGAGCTGTTTGTATATTTTTATGCTATAGAAAATACACAACCCATAAGCTCTAAAAGAAACTCATCCCCTGAAAGACATTGCAGGAATGAGGAGCTGGATTTTGGAAACAGAAATCTACCTCTTCTGCTGCTGTCAGGAAAGATAGTTCATTGGGGTTTCAGCCTATATAGGTGCAAGTGTGGTTTTCAGTTTTATCCTGAGTTTCCATAAGGGTTCCCAAATTTAGTCCACTAATGAAGAGTTATTAATTCTGAGTAACTATGCACAGTACACACAAACTTTCATGACACCACCTTGCTTTAGGAAGTAATTTAGTTTTCATTTTGAGTTCTAATCTTCAGGTGGCTAATGGTCACTGGAAACTCAATGTACTTTTCTGACCATCTGAAATTGTCCAAAAAAGCTGCTATTTCATTCTGTAGCATAAAGAGATTGGAAGCACTGAATATGAATAAAACTCATTATAACAAGGTGAGCGTGCTGCTTTTTTCATATGCACCATATTTCAGATCCATCTGCCAAGACAGTCTCATTCTGATTTGACTCTAGTTTTATTTAAAAAATATACATCTCTGTAATGCATTTCTGATAATGTTACAGTAATTTTGGCTAATATGGAACAACTTAAATTGTGGTGTGGAACTTAACTTTTGGAAGGAGTGGTGGGGGAGAGTGAAAATGTCAGTAAAATACCATTGAAAAACTTTTAAAATATGTACTTACAGGCTTGTAAAAATTTAATTCTGCGAAGAAATAAAGGAACTAATTTTTCATACTACAAAATGTGGAAGGCAAGCTGTGGGATCAAATCACTTTCACTTATCAGTTTTGTTGCTTGTGGTTCAGGAAAGGGCTATCTTGAAATGCACATAATATTGTCAAAACACTGTTTGGCATAAAGTAATATAGACTCAATGAAGAATGAATCTGCTCAGCTGAGCCTAGGTTTTACAGAAGGTTAGAAATACTCAATTTTATCTACCACAGGAGCAAGCTTAAATTCCCCTTTCAGGCTGATAACTGCCAGCCTTCAGCAGAAAATGGCTTTCTGAACAAATCATTTGTCATGATCAGAAATGGTTTTTACATGAACATTATGGCTTTATAGGTCTTGCTCTTAGATGCTTTGCTGTTTTATTCCAAAAAGCTATTCTTAATGTAATCCTTTCAACTAGGACATTATCATCTAAGCCTAAATGGTTTCTGTAATAATTGGGATTGATACTATACATCTATTTATATACAAGACCTTCATTTTTTAGATGGAAGGCTGAAATTCCTTAAACACTGAAATGAAATACAGGCAACTTCAGAGTCCGTTTAGTGCTGAGGAAACTACTGTTTTTAGGCAGTAACAAGGAGCAGATAAGGGCCATTTGTGCTCAAGGATTTTTAAAAAGAGTTCTGAAATTTTGTTTGCCTGTAACTTGACAAATCTATCTCTAACTTTTCTCTGAATCAATCTTGGGCCAGACCTTCAGCTACTGCAAAATGGTGGCACTCCATTGTCTTCAACAGAGCTATGCTAATTTACACCAGCCATTGATTTGCATGCTTGTTGGCGGATGCAGCAAACTCAGCTCTCTGAATTTGGGCATGTGGGATGCTGTACTGGGGATAAAGCCTGGGCTCAGACCATTTTTTGTTGTTGCTTGAAACAGCAGCAGTCCTCCTCACAGCATTTTGCTGCCTCTTTGGATACATTACCCCTTATGATAACCTGAAGAAATGTACGTATATTTTTAACATTTTGGGCAATGTCTGGAGTGCTGGTAGAGCCAGTAATTCTTGTGTAAGATTTCTCTACACAGCTTTGTCAATTCATTTCGCCTGACTTGCAGCTCGAGACCTTCACTCTCTTTCAGAGGAAACACTAGTAACTCTTTATAGGCAGCTAACAAATTACTGTGAAACCAACAGCCCCATTTCTCCTTCAAACGCTGGGGAGTTCCTAAATTAAGTATGGTTTTGGGTGTGTTTCAGTGTTCCTATTTTTTAATTCCAAAATGCTTCTGGATTGAATATTGTCAAACTCTCTGGGGTGAAAGGGCAAAGCCATACATTCTTTATTTCTACCATACAGTTCCAAATCTTCTATACCCTACGCTCATTCTTCACAACATTGCTGTGAGGTGAAAGAATGCAGAGATTAAAAGATTTTTCCCAACATTACCAACTAGAACTAGGATTTAGTTTTTGGCTTGCCATTTTATGCTCCCATCTCTCCTATAGCAATACCTAGGGGTTGCCACCACTATACTTCATAGGAAGTGCCTTATATTCAAAATACTCTAGCTTTCATGCCCTACAGCCTCTACCTGTAAGTGTGATGCACCCCACTTATCAACATCTAACCACACACTTCCCACATTAACCAGTCTTCAAAGATGAGAGGGTCAGTCAGTGTATTAGTGTAACTGTGCTATTAAGCTATTTTTATTCAGATTCCTAAATAAATTGATGTTTTGAGTAGGGCTGTCAAGCTATTAAAAAAAATAATTGCAATTAATCGTGCAGTTAAACAATAACAGAATACCATTTATTTAAATATTTTTGGATGTTTTCTACATTTTCAAATATATTGATTTCAATTACAACACAGAATACAAAGTGTACAGTGCTTACTTTATATTTATTTTTTATTACAAATATTTGCACTGTAAAAAACAAGAAATAGTATTTTTCAATTCACCTAATGTACTGTAGGGCAATCTCTTTATCATGAAAGTTGAACTTACGAATGTAGAATTATGTACAGAAAAAACCTGCATTCAAAAATAACAGTGTAAAACTTTAGAGCCTACAAGTCCAATCAGTCCTACTTCTTGTTCGGCCAATCGCTATGAGAAACAATTTTGTTTACATTTACAGGCGATAATGCTGCCTGCTTCTTGTTTACAATGTCACCAGAAAGTGAGAACAGGAGTTTGCATGGCACTGTTGTAGCTGGCATCGCAAGATATTTACATGCCAGATGCGTTAAAAGATTCATATGCCTCTTCATGCTTTGGCTATCGTTCCAGAGGACATGCTTCCATGCTGATGACGCTTGTTACAAAAATAATGCGTTAATTAAATTTGTGACTGAACTCCTTGGGGGAGAATTGTATGTCTCCTGTTCTGTTTTACCTGCATTCTGCCATATATTTAATATTATAGCAGTCTCGGATGATGACCCAGCACATGGTGTTTGTTTTAAGAACACTTTCACTGCAAATTTGACAAAATGCAAAGAAGGCAGCAATGTGAGATTTCTATTGACAGCTAGAGCACTCAACCCAAGGTTTAAGAATCTGAAGTGCCTTCCAAAATCTGATCAGGACGGGGTGTGGAGCATGCTTTCAGACATCTTAAAAGAACAACACTCTGATGCAGAAACTACAGAATCCAAGCTACCAAAAATGAAAACCAACCTTCTGCTGGTGGCATCTGACTCAGATGATGAAAATGAACATGCATTGGTCTGCTCTGCTTTGGACTGTTATCAGACAGAACCCATCATCAGCATGGATGCGTATCCTCTGGAAGGGTGGTTGAAGCATTAAGGGGCATATGAATCTTTAGCACATCTGGCATCTAAATAGCTTGTAATCAAAAATAATATAAAGTGAGCACTATACACTTTGTATTCTGTGCTGTAATTGAAATAGATACATTTGAAAATGTAGAAAAACATCCAAAAATATTTAATACATTTCAATTGGTAATCTATTGTTTAACAGTGTGATTAATCATGATTAATTTTTTTAATCATGATTTTTTGAGTTAACTGCGTGAGTTAACTGCAATTAATCGACAGCCCTAGTTTTGAGTTTTCTTAATGAAACAGCTAAGTAGAATTGGAAAAGGTTCAGAAAAGGGCAACAAAAATAAGGGGTATGGAATGGCTTCTGTATGAGGAGTGATTAATAAGACAGACGTTTCAGCTTGGAAAAGAAATGACTAAGGGGGATATCATAGAGGTCTATAAAATCATGACCCGTGTTGAGAAAGTAAATAAGGAAGTGTTATTTACTCCTTTTCATAACACATGAACTAGGGATCACCAAATTAGATTAATAGGCAGCAGGTTTAAAATAAACAAAAGGAAGTATTTTTTTTACACAACACACTCAACCTGCAGAACTCCTTGCTAGAGGATGTTGTGAAGGCCAAGACTATAACAGGGTTCAAAAAAGGACTAGATAAATTCATGGAGGATAGGTCCATCAGTGGCTATTAGCCAGGATGGTGTCCCTAGTCTCTGTTTGCCAGAAGTTGGGAATGGGCAACAGGATGGATCACTTGGTGATTAACTGTTCTGTTCATTCCCTCCAGGGCACCTGGCATCAGCCACTGTTGGAAAACAGGATACTGGGCTAGATGGATCTTTGGTTTAACCCAGTATGGCCGTTCTTATGAACATAGGGTGCACGCACAAAAGCAATTTAATTACTGAGGCGGTGCTACACACACTTAATACAGGCCAACATAATTGTGTCGTGTAGCCAATGGGCATGCCCAAGTGGTAAGACCAGCAGGAATAAGGGAGCCCCAAAATGGCTGCACAGTCACCAGTCGCTGCTGTGCCTCTGCCAGCCGCCATTGAGAAGGCACCAACACCCCCCACTCCCCCGTGTGGGCACGGCTCGCTCCGAGATGTCCGTGCTGGCCCCAACGCTACGGCTGGCGCTGGCCTCAGCTCAGCCAGTCAGAAGCGGTCACTGTAGACAAGCCCCGGCCTCCGCCAGAGATATGAACCACCTAGCAGAGGTCGCCACTTCGCGGCACAGCCGTGTCTACACTAGAGTAGGGGCTGTCGCGTGGAG